GGCCTCCAGACTAGCCCGGCCCGCGCGTGCGGACGTGTGTGTGTGTGAATGCGTGTGTGTGGGGCTCCCGCTTGGCCTGCGGTGTGATCGCACGCTTGAGTGTGCTTTCGAGTCTGGCGTCCTTTGGAGGGTGTGTGTGAGCGTGAGCATGTGCGTGTACGTGCGTGTGTGTGTGTGTGTGTGTGCACTCGCCTGTCTGAATGTGTGTGTTCAGCGTCTGTGCGTCCGCGAGCGTATTCGCATCGTGTGCTGTGTGGAAGGTGTGTCGGTGTGCTTTTGTATGTGCGTGGCCCACAGTCCCTTCCTGAGGCCTCGACCCAAGGTCTCTGTCCCTCTAGCGGGTGTGCTTCCAGGGCTTTTCTTCAAGGGCTTTCTCTTTCCCTGGCTCCAGCGTGGGGTAGCGGGGAGCCGCCCCGGGTGGAAGGAGAACCGTGACACGTGCTGCCGCCTCGGTCCCGGGAGAGACTCCAGGCTGCCTGCCCCAGACAGCTGGCCTCCGGAGATCTAGTTCACACCCCCCCTCCCCCGGGGGGCGTCCAGAGATCTGTCTGTCCTGGCCTTGCCCTGCAGCTTTGGGCCTTGCTACTCAGCTTCCGTTTTGACCCCCTGGTATCCAAGAGGGTGACCCAGGCAACCTGTCTTTTAGACCTTTCTCAACCCTTCTAACCTTCCCCCACGTTGAGATTTGAGATCAAACCCTTCGTATTCCCCCACCCCACCCCATCCCCATGATTTGATAACACACCTGGGCCTCAATTGCCACGACAGTGGACTGTCAGGATTGAGGTGTGGGAGACCCACTGCAGGTTATTCTCATTCCTGAGCCTCGGTTTCCCCATCTGCTTCATGGTGTTAATTATGATCATGTACGATACTTGGTAGAATGTTAAGTCCCCTTGTTGGGAAGGCCAGAAGATGGGTTGGAGGGATGTGGCAAAGCCCCAGAGGCTAATTTGAAGCTAGGGGAGGGGGGGGGACATGGATTCAATTTTGTCTCTGCTACTCTCTCTCTCTCTCTCTCTCTCTCTCTCTCTCTGTGTGTGTGTGTGTGTGTGTGACCTTGGGTAAGTCACTTGACTTCTCAAGTTCCCCGGCACCTTTGAAGCTTTTACTATTAGAGACTAATTGAGAAACCCTGGAAAGAGGGGAGGTGGCATCCCCCTGTCCTCAGTCTAGAGAGTTAATTCAGTCCCCTGTCTACCCCCCCAGTCACCCAGAGGGGGTTCTGTGTATGGTGTCTCTCAGCTGTTCAAATCTGGCACAGTCATTTGTCCCATTGTGCTCTAGTTCTATCTGTCTTTTTGGTCTCTGGAGTTGTGGACAGCAGGAATGAGGGAGAGGTACCAGAGGGCTTGTCAGGACAACCCAGACTTCTTTCTGGGGCTCAAAAGAGAGGCCAGGCAGGAAGCCAGGAGGATGGCCTGGATCCTATGCCATACTTCCGGGCTGCCTCCTGGCCTGTGTCTGGTGGCAGGGCAGGTCCATGACCATTCTCTAGCATGCTGCTATCCTCCATTCTGTCCCCAGCTGGCCATGTAGGGTGGCCTCCACAGCCAGCTAGGTCAGCCAGAGTGGCAGGAGTGCTTTGTGGCTTCCCTCTGTGTCTTGAAGTGTCCTACCCCTACCCTATGCCTCCCCCACCTTTCCCTTCTCTCCCTCCTCAGTCATCTTCCACTTGCAGGAAGACCGGACCGGCTGCTTCCTTCCACTGTGCCAGAGTTCTTCCTAAAATGCCCGTTTTAAACCTCTCTTCAAATCCTCTGAAGAACTCCCCAATAGTTTCAGAATTCTTTCCCTCTTGGCCCTGTCAGTGCTCTAGTCCCTGCCTGCCTGGCCCACCCTGTCTTGTTTTGGGATCAGATGTTCTGGCTAGCCTTATTTACCAGTCGTCCCCAAGTAGCCACTGCCCACCCCCTCCTCTCTGCACCTTGTACAAACCATGCTTTCTCCCCAGGACGCTCTGATCTCACATCTTCACATGCCAGTCCCTAGTTGGCCTCTCAGTTTAGATAGCACTTCCTCCTAGAAGCCCTTCTTGGTTTTTCTCTGTAAGGAAAGTCACTGTGGACCTTCAAATACTTAGGTACAAGGCCTGAGCCTCCTGTTTTTAATAAATGGATGTGACATACAGGAGTGAATGAAGTTAGGTGATATAGTTCAGTCCTGTAATTCAAGTACTGGGGAAGCTGAGGCAGGAGGATTGATTGCAAGTTTGAGGTCAGCCTGTGTTGCACGGTGAATTCCATGCTAGCCAGGGCAACAGACATAGTATTAAAAAAAAAAAAAAAAGGCAGAAAAGAATGAATGAAGTAAAGTGGGTCAGATTCAGAGCTGGAGGTGCCAGATGGGGGCGCAATGGCTCTACTGAACATAGACCTGAAGGCTGAGTTGTGGGTTTTTGTTTTTTTTTTTTTTTTTTGCCCTGGTAAGAATCTGGAAAATTCTGCTGGTGGATGGTGTTATGTTGTGAAAAGGCCATGTCCAGAAAGTGTCATCTGGGAGCTGTGAGCTAAAGAGGTTGAGTCCCTGGCAGAGAGTGAAGGGAGAGGGCTCTTGCAGGAGGGCCCCTCCCCCCAGACTCCTGGTGCTGCCTCCCCCTACCCTGGCCCCACCCCTAGCAGCTGGCTCAGCCTGTCCAATCCAAGGAGTCCCTGGCCTTTTGTGATCAGAACAACCGTTGGTGAGCATCGAGTCTCAACGGTCAGTCTGAACCGGGGAGGAGGGATGAGGGCCCATGTTAGACAGGCATTGCTCCAATCCTCAGTCACAGACCACCTTCCTCCGGGAGCCTGAGCGACTGTCTCTGAGCTGGAAAGTAGAGGGCCACCATTGTAGGGACTGTGGGGAGTCAGACAGATCACAGGTGTGATCCTGCTGCTGGGCAGCCAGAGCGGGTCATGTATGTTTATACGTGTGTGTGTGTGTGTGTGTGTGTGAGAGAGAGAGAGAGAGAGAGAGAGAGAGAGAGAGAGAGAGAGAGAGAGAGAGGAGAGAGACAGAGACACAAAGAGAGAGAGAGAGAGAGAGAGAGAGAGAGAGAGAGAGAGAGAGAGAGAGAGAGAGAGAGAGATGGCCAGGGCACAATAAGGGGTGCCAAGCCTTCTGGTCACCTTGGTGTGGCTAGATCTGAGTTTGGAGTGGAAAGAAACAGCTGCTGTGATACCCGGGGAGCACCCAGCATCTCATTTCTGAAATGGTAGCGCTTCTGGGTGCCCCAGAGTGGGTGCTCCGATCCCAGGGTGTGAGAATATTGAGGTGTGCAGAGGACAGTACAGTCAGTGGCTTTGACCTGCCCGCTGGTGCCCCTAGGTCTGTGGGCCCATGGGCATCTGTCCAGATCCCTTTATCCAACAGACGCTTCCATGGTGACGGCAATGCTCTTTCCTTGCAGTGGTGCCTTCTCACTCACATGTGGCTATTAAATTTAAATTAGGTACAATTAATTAAAATACTAATTTAGTTCATCAGTTGCACTAGCCAAGTTTCAAGTCCTCGGCTGTTACACATCGCTAGTGGTTATCAGCACATTGGCAAGTAGAGGGCATTCCCTCCCACATTTGTAGAATGTTCTGTGGGCTGTGAGCGTCTAAATCAGTGGTTCTCAGCCTGTGGGTCGAGACCCCTCTGGGGGTTGCACATCAGATATTTACAGTATGATTCATAACAGTCGCAAAATTAAAAGTTATGAAGTAGAAACAAAATCATTTTATGATATACCACAACATGAGGAACTGTACTAAAGGGTTAGAGCATTAGGAAGGTTGAGAAGCCCTGCTCTAAAAGGATAAGGCTGGCAGAGCTTTAGTGTGGCCTGGGCTCTGTAGAGAGTGGAGCTTGTGTGGACAGACCACTGCTCTGCATTGGCCCCATACTCCCCCAACCCCAACAACCTTCATTACATCATGCCTGTCACAAGCAAGTGCCCTCTGTAAGGCTGTCATAGTGTGCTGCCACTCCTTTGCCCCAAGTCTCCTCAGCTCCCAA